TAGTGCTATTTAGGGTTATTTAGGGTTAGTTTAGGGTCTATTTAAAGTCTGTTGAGGGTTGGATTAAGGTACATGTAGGGATACAAGGTGTGTATATAGATACATACATAGATAAATAGATAGATAGATAGATAAATAGATTGATTGATAGATAGATAGATAGACAGATGGATAGATAGATAGATAGATTAGATAGAAAGGTAGATAGATAGGTAGATAGATAGATTAGATTAGATTAGACTAGATTAGATTAGATTAGACCAGATTAGATTGAATTAGATTATACAGATTAGATTAGATTAGATTGGATTGGATTGGATTGGATTAGATTGGATTAGATTAGATTGGATTAGATTAGATTAGATTTAGATTAGATTTAGATTAGATTTAGATTAGATTAGATTAAGATTTAGATTAGATTAGATTTAGATTAGATTAGATTTAGATTAGATTAGATTATATAGATTAGATTAGATTAGACTAGATTAGATCAGATTTCATTAGATTTCATTAGATTAGATCAGATTTCATTAGATTAGACAGATTAAATAGATTAGATAGATTAAATAGATTAGATAGATTAGATTAGATTAGATAGATTAGATAGATTAGATAGATAGTTTAGATAGATTTAGATATATTAGGTAGATAAGATAAGATTAGATAAGATAAGATTAGATTAGGTTAGATCAGATTAAGTTCGATTAGGTCAGATTGGATAGATAAATAGATAGGTAGGTAAAGCATGGCAAAGCATGGTAAAGCCACAAAAGCGGCACACCCACAAAAGCCACAGAATCCACAAAAGCCAGGCTGGAAAACACACAAAAAAAAAATAGCCCTCCCCCAATATATCCTAATATATTGAGTAGTACAAGCCCCTATAATTGTCAACCAACCAGGGTTTTGAACACTGTTTATGTGCTTGTATGCAGAACTTGGATGCCTCTTGCAGAGGGAATTCCACAGTTCGGGTCCCCATCCATCCACCCAATTGAATGACTGTTGAGTTTCTGACCTTCATTCTGGAGGTGGAATGCCCATTAATAAATTAATGGACCACTAAATGGGTCACATGCGTTCAGGCCTATGTGTATATATATATGTATATATACAAATATGTATGTGTATATATGTATTTATATATCTTTGCATATATATATATATTTATATTTATACATGTGCAGATTGACCCTCTGCGGCTAGTGGACATGGTCTTCCGAGAATTCTCTGCTTCGTACACTCTCTGGGTCCACCGTTTCAGGACAATCCCCTAGGTTAGTATCCGGCTATCCGACCAGCAGTATCAGTATCTGACCCATTTTTACCAACAAGGCCAGGTCAGACGACACAACTTACATCAACCAACCTGAGGATGTGACATAACATGATATGACATAACCAACAAAAATGGGAAAATGATGGAAAATGAATGAACATGGGGTGATAAATGTATAATCCCCCGCAAAAAAAATGGAAAAGTAAGGTACCACTATAGTCACTATTGTCGTTTCGTATTTTACCAAAATCTAAAACGATTAGGTGGTTTTATTCATGTTATCCTCTAGTAATCAAACGTTGCAATGGAAAACCCCCCGCATTTACGTCAATGATTTTCCCACTAAAACCTCCATTTGGTTCGGGGAACTTCCATTGGAACCTTTGTTTACCAAAGGGCATGATCCAAATTACCCTCTGGTAAACGTTTACATAGCTATGGAAAGATCCACCATTTATAATAGGTAGATCAACTACAAATGGGCCAATTTCCATAGTTATGTGACAGTTTACCAGAGGGTACATCCAAAGAAAATCAGCTGAAAATGCTTGGGATATATCTTGGGATCTTTCTCCGAAAAATGTCCCATATTTCCCATAGATGTCCCCTAGGCCCTATCACCACCGGTTGGTGGTTGAGCCCTACCCCTCTGAAAAATGATGGAGTGAGTAACAGTTGGGATGATGACATTCCCATATATGAAATTGAAAATAAAAAATGATCCAAACCACCAACCAGCACCATGATTCCAGGGCCGGGTTTTTTCGTCACAGCCTGAGGATTCACTGGCCGATCCGGAATCAGCTGATTCATCCCTAAGTCCTCTGGCTGGAACTGTTCGCCCCCAAAAAACGGTGGGAAAAATGTGAGACGAATCCCACCAGTCACCAACATATCATGGGAATATCATGGGAATATCATGGGAATATTAGATTATTATGGGAACATCATGGGGTTATCATGGGAATATCATGAGAATTCACCAACAAAAATTATGGGATTGGAAATGGGAATATTAGCTGTGAATCCACCCATCCCCCGTTCAACACCTCCATTGTGCTGTGCTTTTGGGGAGAAATCGTCCATTTGCCATGCCTTTTGTCAATGATTTTTCCGACCAAAATATGTCTTTAAGGAGACTGGAGAGCATGTGAGGCGGCCATGGATGGAAAAGTGTCGACCATGTTGTCGATCTGAAAATGGGTTAAAACTGGGTATGTGGTAAACCCAATGCCATAAATTAGGATCCCCCAAATCACCATTTCTATGGGTCGTATAAACCATCCCCGGTTTAAGGCATAGGTTTTCCCACCTTACCCAAAAAATTGGATGCCGAGTAATATGCTAAACATGACTAAACATGACTCGAATCTGTGGTCATTCGGGCTGAAAGGGCACCAAGACTTCCTGACGAAGCAATATTTTAAGCTGGAATGGAAGAGATGTTACAAGCATATCCGGGAAATGTTTCAAAAATGGCAGATGTAAATCATCCCATTTATGTTTACAAAAATGCAGAAACCAAATTGCAAATCATATAATATATATATATGTGGCAGGGACCTTTGGGGTCTATTTCGTTCCTCCTCGCACAAACGTAATCAAACGTCATTCTATATGCATATATACTATATACACAAGTAAATATGTCTACATGTGTGCACAAGTTCAACAGAAAGTCGCAATTTTTTCCCTTGCCCCTCAACCTGCGCAGCGTCCGTTTTCTGCTCCAAGAGATGCTGTCACCAGCACGCGCGAACGCACGCCAATTTGAACTCTGGGCAGAAGAGTCCTCCAGTGTCAATTGTGTTGCTTTCCATCCCTGCAAGCTACAAAGTTTTGGAATGCGCATGCAAGTTTGGGACTCTTGTGCGCTCATGCATGGGAATGTTTTGGTTGTCAGGAGTTTGTAGTTGTTCAACTGGTTGCAATCTTAGTAATAAGCATAGTTTTATAGAAAAAACCTTAAAGGAACCTCATGGGCATGTAACACAAGCAACAAAGCAATGCAAACATGTTCCACCACTTCCACCTGTAGTGATGAAGAGGGAGGGTGATGGCGGCCAACCCCCTTCATTTTGTCATACTCATCACTTCATTGTTTTTGGCCCCGCTGTCGTCCCCTCTCAGGATCCTTTGAATGAAGAAGAGTTGCAAAAGCAGACCTTGGACCTCTTGGTGAACTTTGCATACAGGCTGCAGATGGATGGCCTGATGCCTGACCTGCCAGAACAGCCACCAGGTGAGCCCAGTAGTGGATCTGGTTTTCTGCGAGAAGTGGAAGGTTCTAAAGCCAAACACCCAGGTGCACCACTACTTGAAGCTTCTATGGCAATGGCACCTGGCCCAAGTCCAGGTATCTGCGCGTCTTCACCAGCCAGTGCAACTACGGTTTTGCCAGTTCAACCTGATGTTGGTTTGTTGGCACCTGCCACTCCTGAAGTACCCCCTCTGAGGCTTCAGCAGCATGCATCCCCAAAGAACTACCTGGTCCAGTTCCAGAAGCAATGGGGGAGGTTGACCTGTACTCCTGACCAGGTGAAGAAGCTTCTTTATTGCACCAAACAAAAAGGCTCTCAAGCTTCGACTGGGCCGTCCTCTACTCAAGATGTATCTGATAGGAAATTCATACATTTTCTCAAGCATCATATGTTTCTATGGTTTTGCTTTCTGTGTGGGATTCAAGTTTCTTGATCTATGCATTTAGTATTGTTCATTCTCAGGTACCAGAGTTCGTGCCTCCTCGAGGAACTTCTAGTGGAGGTTGGTTCAGGAAAGTTTCTGGGCTAGTAGTTGCTTGGAAGCTTGGAGAAGCGCACAGGATGAGATGCCTACTATAACGATGGGAAGAGGTTTCACGGGTGAAGGCGTATGTGGCAGCTTTGGTGGGCTACGTCAAAAAGTGTGGATGGCAAAAGAACTTGGAGGGTGAGTATGGCTTGAACACTTGTACTCGCCTAAGATCTTACTGACTCCAGCAAAGCCTGGGTGGTTAAAAAAACCTTATATCAAACTATCAAACAGTAAGAATTTCAATTCTGTTTCTAAATTGAAAATAAAGCAGTCGCAATTTTCAATTCGGAAATCGAAATTGAAAATCCAACAGTCACCATTTCAATTCAGAAATTTAAATTGAAGATCAAACAGTCGCCATTTAAATTCAGAAATCTAATAGAAAATCAACGCCCCAGTGGTGCGTCAAGACGCGCCTGTAATGCTGCCAAGTGACGTCATGTTCCATTTTCCATGGTTTTTGCGGTGTTTTTGTGTTTTTTTCATCTGCTTGTGTCATGTCATTTCATGTTTGTTTTTTTTAAATTTTGAGCGAAATTGCCATGGCACCACAGTTTCGCGCATGTAGCACGGGGCTACAGCGAAATGCATCTTTTTAAATGTTGGTTGTAGTTTCGCTACAGTGAAATGGCATTTTTTACCCACTTAAGTTACTTTTTTTTGGACTTGGATTTTGCACATAGCAGTTACATCATGTTGCACGGGGCCACAGCGAAATGAAGGTTTTTAGTTTTTTTCGTGTTTTCGCTACAGCGAGGTGCATCTTTTTTTGATTTATGTTATGGTTGATTCTAATTTCACAAACAATGAGTTGTGTGTGTGTGTGTTTGAATGGGTTTTATCTCCACCAACACTTTGAAAGCATTCGAAAAAACCACAGCTCAAAGTAGCTGACACGGACGCTTCTTTTTTTTCCTGGAGCGTGAAATCATTCGAACAGCCAAGAGCTGTGTTTGTCCAAGACTAGGAAGTCTTTAGGTTCATGTCCCAAGGCAAGTTTCACTTTGTTCCGGACGTTGCCTATGGCATTGAGGACATTCAAAAGGCCAGGTAGTCGCAAAAGTCTGCGTGCCGAGAGTTGGTCCACATGTGCATTCGCAGGGCTGCCACGGCCAAGTGCATTGGTTCGTCGCAGCTGAGACTTCGTGCGATTGACTTCACATTCTGTGGCGTTATCTCCACCAACAATTTGAAAGACTGTTTTCATTTCCAGAGCTGCTTTCTTGCCGCCACGAGAAGATTTGGCTGCATCTTTCAAAGTTTTTCTCTGTTTGTCGGAAAGTTTCCATTTGGGAATCGAAACCAAAGGTGTCATTTCATCCAGGTGATGGCGTGCATGGGCGGCTGGGATGCCAGCACGTTTGAAGCCATGTTTTAAGGCTTGACCACTGTCGCTAGCACCAATGCAAGAATCAGCTTCCACGTGTCTTCGCAACGCCTTCTTGACCACTTGATTGCTTTCTGGAGGTGAAGGAGCTCCATGTCCTTAGTGTTAGTTTTATTTCGAACAACATGCGGCAATCGTGTTTGGATATCCTCACGAACATCAATGCTTTCGTTTTGGTGGCGCCATGCGATTTTTTTTAATTTCTCAAACGAGTCATGCTGTCCAAGATTCGAGTTGCGGCTGGTCGAATGGGTAAGGCCACGCACTGTTTGCTAAAGCGACCCTTCACAAAGAGCATGCGGCCATGATGCACTGCCTTCTTCCCAGTACCACGTTTTGTAGACACCGTCTGTGTCTTGGCAGCCGGTTTTTTCAGAAAAGATCGGCTCTTCTGAGGGAAACGGGGATTTCTCTTGAGCCAGGTTGTCTTACTGGTACCCTTGTGAATCAAAGTTTTGCTGCCATCCATCTCCACAATCTCCTGTTTGAACAGTATTTTCTGCTGATCTTCTATCTCGCAGAATGCTAGAGCAAATTTGCAAAAATCGATCCACTTTCTCAACAGATCTCTTCCCACTGGATTTTCAGAATCGCCAACACAATGCAGCATGCTGTCCAACGGCACTTTGATGCCAAACAAGAAAGCGGTTCGCACAAATAACTTGTATTGGGGTGAGAAGCCTCGATTCATGGATGTCCAAAACACTGTATAGGCATGCTTGGCGTTGCATAACTTCAGAGGGTGTCGCGAGGCAGTGCGACATTGAGGACATTGGAGCGTATCCAGCGCATCTGTGCTCGAACTTCTGGACGAAGATGAAGCAGGAACCAGAGTGTCACCGCATTGCCAGCATGTCAGTTGCTCTCTCGGTGACGGTAAACAGCCCGTCTCTCGCAGCAGCGTCTTCGCCTGCATCAGGGTTTATATTTCGTTTCGATGGGAACAAAAAAAGAAAACACTTTTTTTTCGTCAATTTTCCATGCCTTCAAGTCTGACCACGTGGCTACGTCTGCAAAAGTCCAGTCTTGCTTGAAATTGGCCAGAAGCAACGATTGTGGAGGTGCCTTCGAGTCTTTGCTACAAGCAATGCCTTTCTTCAAATGCTTTTGGTTGGACACTGCTGCGCGTTGCTTTCTGGATACTTTTTTCTTGGCTGCAGAAAATTTAGACGGTCGAATTTTCGATCCGGGCATGGAAGCATGGAAAGTAGGGTCATGTCAACCCAGCGGAAAAGAAAAGCGAAAGAAACTTGACGCAGCAAATGCTTCAGGACAGCAATGGGCCTGTGGTGTCCATCCACACGCGAAAGTCCATGAATGGATATCATGGGAAAACCATATAAATATATAGATATATATATATATACAAATATATATGTAGATAAATAAATAAGATCTTTATATATATGCATACATATAGATGTATTTATATATATATATATATCAACCCTTGCAGTGGCTCTACATGCCAGACGACCTGGACCCGCACCTGGGAAAAATATATATATATATATCCGTATAGATATCTATCTATCTAGAACTATATATACATATCTATATATACATATATATTTATATAAATACATCAAATATATATATATATACATATCGGTGTGTATTTATATATATATATCAACCCTTGCAGTGGCTCTACATGCCAGACGACCTGGACCCGCACCTGGGAAAATATATATATATATCCGTATAGATATCTATCTATCTAGAACTATATATACATATCTATATATACATATATATTTTTATAAATACATCAAATATATATACATATATATACATATCGGTGTGTATTTATATATATATATCAACCCTTGCAGTGGCTCTACATGCCAGACGACCTGGACCCGCACCTGGGAAAAAAAATATATATATATATATATCCGTATTGATATCTATCTATCTAGAACTATATATACATACATATACATCAAACCTTTGAATTGCTCTGGCTGCCAGACGGCATCGGCTCAGAAAGCTTTTGTTTTCCACTCGGTCGCCGCATCTCGTGCGCAAAAGAGTCACCAATTGGTCGAGGCATTTGGATGCTTCAACTGCCACGCAATGTCACCACGCACTTCACGAATCTGTCTTTGCACGGTTTGGGGCAAATTGTTCCATGGTATGGTACATTCTTTCCAAAACCAACATCCCCGGCGACCATTCGCCAAAGGCGTGAACCAGTTCTTGCACCGCAAAATGGGTGTGCCTGCATGCTGTCCAGATCTGTGACATACAGGTTGCAAAACCGTCTCGCACTTGGAACAACGACCATACTTCGTTGTCTTCACACTTTCATTCCTGGATGCCGGTACTTGGACATCTGCTTCCTCTTGCAATAAATCAGCACAGAATTGCTCAACATATTGATTTTCAGCTGCCAAGAAATCCCTCAATGTCTCTGGTCCAAAATATGTAACAGCATCTGCTTCCGGAGGCACACCTCTTTCAAGCACCATATTTTCAAAGACTCTTGCCCTTTGCAACAACGAAATAGTGGAAGGAGTCCGCATAGGCTTGTACAAACTGAAAGCGAACATCTGTCCGGCCATGGCCTTCTTCAGAAGTTTGCTGCGAGGACTGTCATCAACACAATAGCCTTCAGACAAGGTGTCATCACATTCACAACCATAAATTTCAATCCACCTTGCCCACGTAGCGTCATCAGTTGTTTCGGTCACATCCCATGGCAATGTATCATGGGCATCGAATCTGGGATCGGCGTCAACGAAATTGGATCTCATGTTCCTGGGAGGTGAGTCCAGGATCTCAAAGCAAGGAGGACGCAAGAAAGATTCTCGAAATGTTTGTGCACGTGGAGGGGAAACCGAAACTGTCTCAGCTCTGCCCGACGAAGAAGAAGGTGCTCCACGTGTCTCCAAAGATCGACGTCCAGTGAAAACGGGGTGATCAAATCTATTCGTCTTTGTTTGCAAAGAGCCCAGCATGTGCCAAAGATGGTCCAAAAATGATCCAGGAACGGCACCATTGAGAAAAAAAGCAGAAAAATCCATGCGAGGACCATAGTAATGGAACCAGCCCGCCGAGACCCAGTCAATTTCATTAGATATTCGATGTTGACAATCATGCACCACCTCTGTCCACCTCTGCAAAAGTCTCGGCAGGAATATCACTAGAGTTTGCGGGGAACATCCAAGATCCCAAACCAAATCGTGAATCAAAATCTGCAGCGAGACATAATCGGCTGATGTTGGGCTCTGCAAAGAAACCTGAAATACAGCAAGGTCGACATTACCCGCTAAACAGTTAAGTCAACCGACATGTTTAGCAGTACTTGCTCGAACCCTTTCAACAAAAGACCTGGCGATCGAAACAGAAACAAGATATAGCAGCCAAAGCACTAGAAGCAACTCGCGGACATCGTCCACAGCGACGGAAGACAACGGAATCCACAATGTCACATTTGCAGAAAGCAGTAAATAAAGAAAAGTCAACGATAGTCGAACAGCACAATCCAAGCCATCCATCGCATAATCCACTACGAGAACGACATGTTGAGCTCAAAACATTGCAAAAGGCCATATCAAATCTTGGCACGAAATGGTAACATTGACCTGAATTCAAAAACATGTGGATCTTTCCAAAGACATGTGCCTCTGAAACATTACCATTAAAAAAATGCAAGAGAAGATCTATAGAGCGTAGCATCATGAGCGTGACAAAGATCGCAAGAGAAGATCTATAGAGCGTAGCATCATGAGAGTGTCAAAGATAGCAAGAGAAGATGTATAGAGCGTAGCATCATGAGCATGTCGAAACGAAGATGACACAGGAAGCAGGCGACAGAACGCTATCAAGCCCCCCACCCCACCTCCCCACCCCCCCACCCCCAACCCGAAACCCCCCCCCACCCCCCCGTCAATCCACGTGACAGGCGTGGAGAAAAATACACATAAACGCGCACTGCCAAGCAGAAAAGCAAAGCATAAAACGCGTCGTGACGTACGACTGGGGCCAAAATCAAACATTCACCATTTCAATCAGAAATCTACCTTGAAAATCAAACGATCACCATGTCAATTCAGAATTCCAAATTGAAAATCAAACAATCTCCATGTCAATTCAGAAATCTAAATTGGAAAACAAACAGTTGGCATTTCAATTCAGAACCTTAACTTGAACCTACAATAGTATATTTTTTACCTTTCAGATTTTGATATTAATTTGGTTTACTATTTGGCACAGCTATCAAAAAATAATGTAGTTTTTACATAAGCAGCCTTTAGGGCTTTCATTTTTTTAGCCAAAAAGCACATTGATGCTTTCATTTTTTGAAGCTGTCACAAGTATAGCACATTGATGCTTCAGGTTTTGGTGTTCCATTAGTGCATCAGACATGTGTCCTTTGCATTTTTCTTGTCAAGGTGTAAGCTGTCAGGATGTCCAGTAATAGGGGTCAGGCACGGGGTTCAGCCACTGATCCAATGGTATCTCGACAGTTTCAAACCTGGACCTCATCCAATGGATGGAAGAGCCTCTGGTATGTCGAGATTCATCAATCAGGTTTTGATTCTTGGTTACCAGGTTGAAATTCATCATGTTTTTAAAGCATACGGGAACTCAGGTAGTATGAGGATAGACGTAAACGGTAAACGAATTGCTCGCTTGCTCAGGCAGGATGCTCTTGAGCACTTCAAGCAGAATGAAGGCCCACATCTTTTGCCTGCCAGCCTGAAGAACTTGATCAAAATCAGTTACATGTTGGCTGGGGTCCCTGTTCTTTCTGGCGATGCTATCTGCGCCTGATAGCTGCAGCTGTATGCCCATAGTGCATGGAAAGCCTGGATGAAAACATACTTGGGTGGAATCAAAATACTGTGGGGGGAGAAAAAATATTTTAAAAAAACACCATGTGGTGTACTTGTTTTTTTCTGGCCCAGTGGCCTTTCCTGCTATTTTGAAACTATTGTGGTTTATGCCCAAGGGGCTTTCATGTAAAGGTCCAGGGTTGGGTATGAGAGCCCACTGAAGTTTATATGCTTCTAACCTTAAAGGGTCCCAGAACCCATTCCCACCGACTCTTGCTACAGGTTTTGCTGATAGGGCTTTCATTTTATTTTGTAAACTAAATTGTTTCTGCCCAAAGGGGCTTTCATGTAAAGGCTTAAACTCCTTTATCCCATGCCCAAAGGAGCTGTCATAATTCTAACTTTGAAGGTTAGCAGAATCAATTCTCTTCTGCTTCTGCTGCAGTGGGCCCATAGGAATTGTGGGCTCACCTTAGCCTAGATCCTTTGATCACCATGGCTACTTGGGACGTTGAGGACTTAGTCAAGGAGATTAGTGATATGGAAGCGATTTACCAAAGAAACGCTGGTTCACAGCTGGTGCCACGAATGCAGGAAGCTTTGCAGTCCAAAGTGAACGGTGTCCAAATGCTCGCTGCTTCTAACTTCTTGAAGCGTCCTGATGCTGTTCAAAATGGCATCTTGACTGCTGACACGAAGGCAGAGTTGCAAGCATTTCTCGAATCAAGGGCAGCCTCTTCAATCCAAGGTGCCACCAGGTTGCAGGCTACACCTCGAAGCATGACCACGCCTTGGAACTACCTGTCCCAAAGCGAATGGCAGCAGATGCAGAATGGCATCAACACAGTTGATGCTACCCACATGCTGATCAAAAGAATCAAAGTGTGTGGGTTGAAAAGCCTCAAAGAAGACACCAAGAAGTACTTGACATCCTTTTTGGTCAGCCTTCAGGTGAAATCACCAATGTCTTGCCTCCAGTTTTTGAAATGTACAAATTTTGTGCTGGATACGTTCGAGGCTGTGGTGGCTCAACCTCTGCATGCTGGTTTGGCAAGGTACCCACCTAGCCCCCACGACATTGGGGAGGCACTGGGTTTGTAAAATCTTTGGTGATGGCTGCTTTCAAGCTGATAATTTTGAAGTCAAAATTTAGCCATGACATAATCCCTGAACACACACACACATGGACACGTATACATATTTCCATTTGAACATAAACACTTGCAGGCTTTCTGCTTGCTCGCTACCAGTCATATGATAAACCTTGGAAGCATTGCCAAGAAAGTCACGGTGAGCGGAACTGCCAAGGAACTCAGGGCTGTGGCCACTCCACAGGCAACCTCTCAGCAGTTGCCAGCAGAGCCTTCGACAGGGAAAGATCCTACAAACAGTATGGTGACCACCCATCTC